TATGCGAAGATACACGAGCTGTTCATCTAGAGCTCACAAACAACATGAAAACAGAAGAGTTTCTACAAGCCTATCGCCGCATGGTTGGTCGACGTGGGGTACCAAGAGTTATACGTTCTGATAACCAGACCACGTTTCACAAGGCAAACAAGGTGTTTAAAGTGACCAAACAGAAAGCAAAACAAGCTAACATTAACCCAAGAGAAGTCGAAAGYAGGCTAGCTAACGACAAGGTCAAGTGGAAATTTATSACTGAAAGAGCAAGTCATCGTGGAGGACACTGGGAACGAGTGTGCCGTCAAATTAAGGAACCACTGAGAAGAGTGTTAGGCAAGGCACTTCTAAGTTATACAGAGATGTATACAGTAMTGACAAGTATTGAAGCTACAATTAATTCGCGACCCCTCACATACATCGGTGACGATATCAGAGATGGGAAAGTAATCACGCCAGCACTATTGGCTATCGGCAGAGATCTTGGCAGTGTACCTGATGTAGCTAAACAAAGTGTCTCACTAGAWGATCGTTAYTWCTATCAACAGCGCCTGCTTAACCACTTCTGGTCTCGCTGGATGCGGGAGTATTTACCAACACTTACAGTGCGACAAAAGTGGCCTCGAGAGATGACGCCTCTTAAAGAGAATGATGTCATACYGATAGCAGACGACAACATCCCTAGAGGAAGGTGGAGACTTGGAAAGGTTGTCCAGACTTTTCCAGGAGCAGATGGTCTAATTAGAACAGYKAAAGTCAAGACTAAGCAGGGAATGCTGAATAGACCGGCRCAAAAACTTCATTTGCTAGAAGCCTTTAAAGATCTTCCAAGTTCCACATCCCTGCCACAAGATCTTCCAAGTTCCACATCCCAGTCACAAGATCTTCCAGGTTCTTCATCCAAGTCGCGAACTAACCCTTGTCCAAACTTACTGCGTGGGGGAGGATGTAAGGATCAGCATAGAAGAACCCATAGAACAAGATCAGGAAGAGTAATTAAAGCTCCCAAGAGATATTAATTTTAAAAGAATTTTAAAAGAAAGAACTGTATTATTATATTGTATTGTATTATTGTAATATAATGTATTGTCCCTGATGTTCTACACGTTGTTATTGTGGTGTCCCAAGAGAAATGTGTATACTTAAGAGAAAATGTGTTTAATAAAAGTTAGTTAGCAAGAAAAGATCAACGAGTTCGAATATATCATTGTCGTTCACCGCGTAAACTCACAGCTAAACTCATAGACCGAGTCTATACACATCCCTTTTTGAACTTTATATCATAGCATTTTGAGTCTTACCACTTTCAACGGCCTGTATTTCTCTATCCACGCTTCCTTCATTCAGCATTGGACTGATAAAGAATT